AAGGAGCCATAGGGATCCTGGGAATGTCTGCTTCCAGTTGACCAGTGCCCACATGGGGTAGGAGGCTCAGAGGGAGAAAATAACGTGCCTGGGGCCACATGGCCTGTGGAACCATGTCATTGGGTTTATAAAGCACTTCGCTGGGCTTTCTTTTATCTGGTTGTATTGTTAGTATTGACTTCAGTTTTTTTCAAAAGTTACTTCACAGCAAACCACTCCCTTCCACAGGCTCTTTGGAAAGAAATGCTTCTGGGGCTGAGCTAGGGGGTGGGGGCCTGCCCGCCCTCCTTATCTTCACAGTTGCTGGAGTCCTCACCCTGGCATTGCAGCGAGCTAGGGTGGGAGAAAGTTCTCTGAGGCCCTAACAGACTCTGAGTCCCCTCTCTCAGGAAGCTGGTTTCCCCTTTTTTTGCTTGGCTGGGTTTTTCGGTTTCAGGGCTAGATTGTGCCCAATTTCCTCTTTTCTATCACCAGTGCATTTTGAGCCTCCCGAGGAGGGTTCAGTGGGGCTCCTGAGTGGGCTGGCAGTTCTGTGACATCCTGGCCCCCTCTGAAAGCCAAAGCTGGTTGGTTCATAAGATGACCCCAGAGGACCTCCCAGGGGGCCTGAGTAGAATAGGATTTGTAAATCCTGAAGGGTGGGGTCGCCCACCTCCCCCTGCAGGTTAATTTTCGAGCCTGTCTTCAGGAAGCATGTGAAAGGGAGAGAGGGATGAGGGCCTGTGCAGGCTGACATGCCAGGTCCCTGGGAAGCAGCAGAAGCCCATCTGAAAAGGTCCAGTCATGACACCTCCTCCATGAAGCCTTCTGAGATTCCCCTAGTCATATTTCTATAGGACCTGGATTCACAGCTGTACCCCCAGGCTCAGGCTCAGGCAGTGCAGGGTGGAACTAGGAGGGACGCTGCACGCCACAGATGAGAAAACAGAGGCACAGAGAAGGGAACCGGACATGCCTATATCACACAAGCTGGTGATGGTGAAGCAAAGGTTCAAACAACACTTTTAGCTTCTGGTAAAAAATAATACCCTTAAAAAAAGAGTTCTCTATGGCCAATATGGCACATTCTGTAATCAGAGAAGTGCTTTTGGGGCACACAGTTTTTTTTTTTTCTTTTTATAATCTGACTTTGATCTGATTTGGGCCAAAGTTCCCCAGCTGACTGCAGACCCCACCACTCCCAATTGCCCGATTGCATTATACCTGGTCAGTTCACACACTTCTGCTGACTGCCTGCCTGGCTCCTGTAGGCTTCCACTCAGCATTCATTCAACAAATAACCACCGGGTGGGGGAGAGGTTAAGGTGAGATAGAATCATGGAAAGACCCCCAAACTTGTCTTCCATTCTAGGGTTGATTACTCAGACCACACAAGTTTCTTACCTTATTTTCAGCTCCCTTTTTTCTTTAAAATATTTTCTGTGGAGGGAGGTAATTAGGTTTTATTTATTTGTTTTTATTTTAATGGAGGTACTGGGGATTGAACCCAGGACATTGTGCTGCTAAGCATGCACTCTACCACTGAGTTATCCCTTCCCTGTCAGTTCCCTTTCTTATAATTTGGGACTGTGATCTTTACCCTGCTTACCCTCTAGGGATGTGAGAAAGTTAGATGGGTCTTGTAGACAGCAGTGGGCTCTAAACAGGGCAGGACTGTCACCTTGAGGGGCACTGAGCTTCTCCTCTGTTCAAGAAGAACTTCTGCTCTGAGGCAGGGAGCTTGCCTACCTGGCTTCAAGACTCTTTGCCCAGGGAGGAGTGAGAACTTCTAGGGAGACGAGGGTACCCCCTGGTACCCATGGCCAGACTGTGATAAGAACGACCAGGTTCCTCTTTCTCATCTCCATTTGCAGTCACTAACCTGAGGAAGTGGTGAGAGGAACTGAGGGCAGAGGAAGTGGTGAGAGGGCAGGAGGAGGGCAGAGACCCCTTGGTTGGAAAAATCCTCCTCCCACCTGTGCCGGGAGCTCAAGTCCGAGCTATCATCAGTCCCTGGACCTTGCCCCTCGTGGGAGCTCCTCACATCTTCCAAGCTGTTAACAAAGCCAGCTTCTTCCTTCTCTAGAAAGTGTCTGACCTACAGCATGAAGAACCGAGGTTAGCCCCCTGGAGGGACTTCTTGGTGTGAGGGAGGACAGCTGAGGCTCAGGATGGAAGCTTGTGGAGGCAGAGGGAATGCTCTAGCATGGCTTTGGTGGGGTCCGTCCGGAGTTAGGTGGGGCGGAGGCAGATCTCAAGATGGTTTGCAAGGTTCTGCTTGGAAAGAGCTATGATTTCATTTTTCCAGCTCTTCTCAAGGTTATAGACTTACAGGTGCAAATGCTTCTGACTGCAGTTATTTATTGCATCAGCTTTCGCCAAGATCATTTCAGCTCTGATACTCACAGGTGTGTGGCAGTGCTTCCTGGTAATGGAAACACTGTGCCAGGAACATCTCCTTCCCTACCTTTCCCCCACATGCAGGACTACGTGATCAAAATATATATTTCGTACACAAACATAAAATCGAGGGAGTGGCAACCCTGGATTAATTGAACACCTGAGACTGACAATGACTGAGTACCTCAAGCACTCTTCAAGGACTGCCTCTTAATTCTTCCACTAATGGGTGATACGTATCTCTATACGCTCACTGTGTGCCAGCTACCATCCAACTGCTATTATTCCCATTTTACAACTATAGAAACAGAAACACAGAGAAGTAAATTGCCAAAGATTGCACAGTATATGGGGCAGAGTTGGGACTCAAACCCCAGGCACCCTGGGCCCAGAGTCCATGCTCATAACCACCATGCTCTAAGCCCTTCACACACCCTGAGAGCTGGGGATTATAATTTTCTTCAATGCACAGAAGAAGAAACCAACCAGATTGCTCCATCACTCATAAGCAACATCAAGAATGTTTTTTTTAACTGCGCTAAACACATTTAGGATTAAAGCAAACAGTGACAGCCTGCAACTTTTGTGTCTGTAGCCTTTTTGCCAAGAACACTTAATCCTCACTCCCACAGAGGTAAGCAGGGTGAGGATCTGGACCTTCGTGTTCCCCAGCTGGAGGGGGTCTGGGACGTGAAGCCAGGGCACCGCACACCTGGGCTGCAGCTGCCTTGGCCGCAGCTCCGAGGCCCTGCAGTCCTCAGGCTCGGGGTGTGGTAGGTGGACAGGATTGAATGCTGGCTGTCATCTGCTAGGCCCATGGACTCAGCCTTGGTGACTGTCGAACGATGAGATTAGTCAGCCTGGCTGGGAACCATGCCAAGCTCTTACCTGGGCAGCTTCTGGCCTCCTTCGATTAGCAGAGCTACGTGGCCTGAGGCTTATTTGCTACAGTTCCCTGCCTCTCGATTAAGGAAGGATCATAAGTATGTGCACCCTTGTTTTGAGAGTCTGAACATCAAGGTATGTCAGGCAAGGAGCAAGATCATGTTGGATCTTCTGGAAATTGAAATTTCTGCCTTCCAGGTTTACATGTTCTGGTGAGCTGTGGTTAACCATCCTCGAGCCTGTAATCTTGCTAACCTTTAGACTGTCCTCAGAAACCTGCTGAGTGTCCACCAGAGGCAGCTAAGGAGGAAGGGCAGAATGGGACCCACCAGCCGACGACCTTGAGCAGGTCAGAGGCTCCCAGAGACTCCCTCCCTTCCCTGACCACTTGGTGCGTGAGCCTGAGGATCTACTGAAATGAAGGAGAGAGGTTGCTTTGTAAACTGTAAAGTGGGAGACCCCTGTGACTCGTGATCGGTGCTTGCTTGTTGAAAGGACCAGTTTTATCTTAGCCCTCCAAATGCTGTCATCTTTCCCTTCCCCTTTGACCATAGTCCAGATGCCTGGATCATTGGATGCAACAGATCCTCCCTGAGCCCACAGTGAGATGCTTCATGGTGCTTGGAATTGGAGCATCAGACCCAAGAGAAGAGAAAGGCAGGGTCTATCCATGATTCTGTGGCCCACGAGCCAGAGTCAGGGGAAGACAGAATGCCTGAGAAGGCAGCTTCTGGCAAAGAGGTTTCTGTTCCTTTTTTGTTTTTAACATACACACAGAAAAGGCACATTAGTGATGAATTTTCACATAGTGGACACACCTGTGTATCCACTACCCAGCTCAAGAAACAATGCAACCACGCCTCCAGCAACTCTCCTGGGCACGTTCCCTGTCTCCACCACACCCACTCTGACTTCTAATGCTGCAGTTTGGCTTTACCTACTTTTGGACGTTAAGTAAGTGGAGTGTTTCAGGGTTGCTTTCTCTCGATACTATTTGTGTGAGGTTCATTCTGTTGGTGCCAGTGGCTGTAGCTGGTTCATTGTCACTCACGTTGGTGGGCTGCCACGCTGCATCACACCTGACCTGTTCTGATGACGGGCCTTGGGGTCGCTTCCGGGTTTTGGTGCACTATGAATGTTCCAGTACATGTCTCGGGGTGAGCACATGTGTACTTCCTTTGGGGTGGAATGACTGGGTCGTAAGTGGGGTTGGCTCAGCCTCAGCAGCTGCCAGCAGGAAGGATTTAAGTAAGTTGTTAAGCAGGACTTCCAGACCCAGAAGATTGCAGTCAATTAGCTCATGCCCCTAGAGGAGGGGGCCATGAAATTTCCTCCACAGAACAGGAGGGAGGGGCTGGGGGGCAGTCCGTGGCTCCTTTCTGTCCAGTTTTGGCCCCTTGTCCTGTGTCTGAGGTTTCCAGTCTGTACTCCCAGGAGGTGTCCGCGGCCACTTGGGAGGGATAAGAAGGGGGCCTTAAGCTGCATTTCCCTGCTTCAGCCAAAGTCCCCCATGTCCTCTGCTTTACATGCTGGGGTTCTGAGGATGACTTCACGTGTTTTTTGGTTTTGTTTTTGTGTTTTAAAGCTTTGGCTGTTTTGACATTTGAAAACCCACTGCCGTGAGGTCCCTTCCAGCCGGAAAAGTCTATTTTGGGAGCAGGAGGTGGGTGTGGGAAGGGTTAAGCATTATTCAGCCAAAGAGCAGCGTTGGGCTTCAGTGACCTTTTCAAGTTCTTATAGCTCGGCCCGCGATGCAGGAGACCTTAGAACATTCTACAAAAATAGCGTTCAAACAAAACAACTTCCTAAGCCTGAAGGATGCGGACGAGAGGCTCGACTTTGAGGAACATTTAGGTAGCATTTCAACAGGAGTCTTGAGGGCTCTGTCCTTCGGCCACCCTCCTCTTGATTTCTTTTTTCTTTTTTTATTCTCCATTGGCTGTTCCTGGCCATTGTCACTTGGGGTTGTTTGGGTTCAAAACGGTTCCCATTTTCCCCCAGGAGTGGGTGTCGCGGGCAGCCTGTGTGTCTCTCCCCGGAGTGGTGGCTTTCTCTCCTCCGACACCAAGCCGAGTCTGGACTTGTAGTTTCACTTGGTGAGGGAGGCCAGGCCGTCCACGGGCCCAGAGAGAAGCGGCCCTGCCTGTCGGAGCCAGCCGACAATCGATCAGGTCCAGAAAACCTGTGCTGCAGGACTGA